GCGCTGCGCCGCCCCCATGTACAGCTCCATCGTCAGCCTGGCCCTGGCCGATCTGCTCTACCTCTCCACCATCCCCTTCATCGTCTGCACCTACCTGGCCCAGGACTGGTACTTCGGCGACCTGGGCTGCCGCATCCTGCTCAGCCTGGACCTGCTCACCATGCACGCCAGCATCTTCACCCTCACCCTGATGTGCACCGAGCGTTACCTGGCCGTCACCCGGCCCCTCGACACCCTGAAGAGGTCCAGAGGCTATCGGAAGGGCACGCCGTCTGGTCGGTGTCGCTGCTCCTCACTCTGCCCATGATGCTGATGGTCACCCTGACCGAGGGGGGCAAGGCAGAGGGCAAGGTGAAGAGGATGTGTGCGCCCACCTGGAGCGTGGATGCCTACCGGACCTACCTGACGGTGCTCTTCAGCACCAGCATCATGGCCCCGGGAATCATCATCGGCTTCCTCTACACGCGCCTGGCCAGGACCTACCTGGAGTCCCAGAGGAACCCTCCCCACAAGGAGAAGAGCAAGAGATCCCCCCGGCAGAAGGTCCTCATCATGATTTTCAGCATCGTGCTGGTCTTCTGGGCCTGCTTCCTGCCGTTTTGGATCTGGCAGTTGGTGCGGCTCTACAGCAGCTCCCTGCAGCTCACCACCCAAACCCAAAAGTGCATTAACTACCTGGTGACCTGCCTGACCTACAGCAACAGCTGCATCAACCCCTTTCTCTACACCCTGCTCACCAAAAACTACAGGGAGTACCTGCGCAACAGGCACCGTAACTTCTACAGGTTCACGTCCTCCTTTCGCAAGAGAGGCTCCAACCTGCAGTGCTCCTGGGGACGCTCCATGTCCTCCAGCAACCAGTACGACTACAGCTCGGAGGCACTGGGCATGGCCACGCTGAAGGACAAGTGAGGAAGAGGAGGAGCTCCAGAGACACCGGGACCAGCAGAGCGTCTGGCCAAGGTAGGGCTTTGGGACCCCTTAGCCCTGAAGGGTCCTAAAAACTCATTTCTGCTGCTCACTCTAGTTAGGGTCAAGAAGCTGCGTGAGCCCGGGTACTATGAGATGAGTCTGAGTTTCCATCTGGCTTAGGGCTGTTGGGGGAGTCCTGACAGGAGCCAGCAGCCATTTGGGACAAATCCTGCAAGGTTTGGGGTGCAGAAGGTGAGGTGGATACTTGTTCAGTTCTGCCGCAAACTGTCATCACACTTTGCTGAGTTTTGCCCAGCTCCAGCTCTGCACACCCTTTCTCCTGTGTGGTTTCTCATTGCTCCCATGGGGCTCTGGCTGGGTCAGAGCTGCAGAAGTCTGAAATTGGCCTGGTATTGCCTCATTTAGCTCCAAGCCTTGGGTTTGCCCCGTGTATTACCATTGTCTGTTTCTGGAGTGTGTGGAGAGACCTTTAAGCCCCTTTTCCTATTTCCTGTTACATTACAGTGCACTACAGTTTCATCAAGCTTAAAGTCTCTATTTTAAAATTCATTGCAGCAGCACTTTGAACTCCAAGCATTCAAAAACTACAAGGTAAGCTGTCAGAAACCACAGGATTACCTAAAAAAAACTTGTCGTTTTTGAAGGTTTCTACCTAAGGTGATTTGAATTTGCCACTGCTTTAATTATTAATTAATTAATTTATTTATTTATTAAAGCTTGTCCCTTTCTTAACAGTCAACAGAGCTTGAAAAACCTGAAAATTTACTTTGGAGAGAAATAAAAAGTTCTTACAACCCTATCACTGAAAAACCTGAGGCTCTAAGAAAAATTACTGAATCCCATCTCATAAAAATCTTCATAAAAGAGGCAAATTCTTTTTCAGGACATTTAAACAAAAGCATTTTGCCACAATATATTCTGCTCATTTTCTCCCTACTTGGCATCTTGCAGTAAACCTTCCTCACAGATCCTAGAGATACCTGTAAGCATTTAAACAATTGTGAAACCTCAGTTTATAAAATAAATGCTGTTAAAAATGGACCATGAGCAGGTTTCCCCTTGTCTGGTCTCTTCTCCCAGCTCAGGGGGTGTATTTCTCAGGGAGAGAGTTGGATTCAGTATCCTCATTCTTCTTCTGGGACAAACTCAGAATAAGAAAAGCATGATATGAGTTGCATAAACTATTGTCAGCAGCTAGTGATGCCCAGGGACTTCTGAAACAGCAAGCAGTGTGAGGTACAGACATTTCTGACTTAACCCTAACTTTTAGCCCTAACCCTAACCACCACAGCTCTGGCCAGGCCCAGAGAGTGGTGGAGAATGGTCCTGCATCCAGCTGGTGTCTGGTCACTAGTGGTGTCCCTAGGGATCAGTATTGGACCTAGTCCTGTCCAGTATCGATGATCTGGATGAGGAGACTTGAGTCTACCATCAGTAAATTTGCAGACAGCACCAAGTTGGGTGGGAGTGTTGATCTGCTGCAGGGGAGGAAGGCTCTGCAGAAGGATCTGGACAGCATGTATGGGCTGAGACTGCAGGATTCAGAAGTTTTTCAGAACAGCTCTTCAGGCTGGAAGTCACTCCCAAATAAGAATAACAAAGACAAGACTGAACTCAAAAGACAGTGTGGGAAGGCTGGAGTAGGTGTGACATCCTCGAGGTGTGCTGGGCTGCCCTGCTCTCAGGGAGTGTAACAGAGGGGCTGGACACGTGTCCTGGCAGAGCCAAGCATGGCTACATCCCTTCCTGGTATCACACGTGCCACTTGGATCCTGACCTGACACAGTGCTGATGTGTCTTGAAGGCCACAAAGTTGCTCCGAGGGCTGGAGCAGCTCTTCCCTGGAGCCAGGCTGGGAGAGCTAGGGGTGTTCAGCCTGGAGAAGAGAAAGCTCTGGGGAGACTTTAGAGCTCCTTTCAGTGCCTACAGGGGCTCCAAGAGAGCTGGAGAGGGACTTGGGACAAAGGCCTGGAGTGACAGGACACAGGGAATGGCTTCACACTGCCAGAGGGCAGGGATAGATTGGATATGAGGAAGAAATTGTTCCCTGTGAGGTGCTGAGGCACTGACACAGGTTGCCCAGAGAAGCTGAGGCTACCACATCCCTGGAAGTGTTCCAGGCCAGGTTGGACGGGGCTTGGAGCAACCTGGGCTAGTGGAAGGTATCCCTGCTCATGGCAGAGGGTTGGAATGAGATGAGCTTTAAGGTCCTTCCAAGCCAAACTAACCTGTGATTCTGTGATGTTTGTCACTCAGCATGTTTTTCAACCAGTCTGTGCTCCATCCTGGCCCCATCCCAGTGCTGCTCCCCTCTCCCATCAGGCTCTGATAAACCCATCCAAGGTTACTCCAGCCAGAGAACCAGTAAATTTGATGATGCCCACGAAGCACATCACTGAGGCAGAGGAGAGCCTGTTTAACACACAGAACTGGCCAGCAGCCACAAGATGCTGCTGTGCATGTTGAATGACAGCTCTTCAGCAGCACAGGGAGCACAACACAGTGCAGACCTTCCCAAACACGACTCCTCGGGAGCTGCTTGTACTCCTGGGGAGCAGAGCTCAATTTCAAAGATGAATTACATAAACAGCATCCCTCTTAATATCCCATCAGACCAGTTAAACTGCCAGAAGTCAGGAGGTTTGATCCACTTCATAAATATCCTGCAAGAGCAGATGTTTCAGCTGAGTTCCTGTTGTCTGTAACTGGGCAAGCCTTGACTCTTCTTGGTGTGCTTATGTTTGGGAATGAGGAGACAGTCTCCATGTATCTTCCTTTAAGAACAAAACCACATTAATTTGAGAGTTCACTCTGGAAGGGAATTGCTGCTGCCTGTCTAGAGCAGAGTCCTGTCTGGGGCTGACACAACCTTTAGGTTACCTGGGAGGGGCAACTCTACCTGTTGATCACCCAGCAGTTTTCCTGGGGAAGGTGTTGGTTTGGGATCTCAGTATTCCCAAGCACATCTCCCTGTGTGTAGGCCATGTAAATCTGCTGTAAAGGAGCTCAGGCTGTTTCCTACAAGAGGGAGAGGTATTACCTGTCCTCAGCAGTGAAATGGGTGAGTCAGGATTCCCAAGATCAGGAGATTAGAAACATCTTGTGTCCACAGCCACAGAGGTTGCACAAGTGTAGGAGAATTGAGACAGACACATAACCAGAATCTGGATGATGTGGCTGTGCAAATTATGTGTATTATGTCACTTTAGATAAATCTGAAGCATCTCAGGCCAGGGCTGAGTAACAACAGGGAAGTCCGTCAGGCTGTAACTGAGCATGTGGAGAGTTCCTTGAAAACAATTTGACTTTGGCTATTCTACATTCCAAGAAATCAAGCTCTGTGTACCCTGGGATCATTCATCATACCCAAATGATTGTGATCATGTGGTTCTCACTGCTTTGGGTGGGTTTTATTATAAATTCAGTGTTGCTGCAGGTTCAGTGACACAGCTAGTTCTTCAGCAATGTGGGAAATGGGAATTTTAGGCAGGGCAACAATATTTCTGTGGTTGGGCCAGAGGTTGTCACTACAAAACTCCATCCATGCTTTACAAGAAAGAAAATCAATCATGAAATCACTAAAAATATTTTCCAGCACCTGTTAGGATTTATAACCAAAAAACCAGCCCAGACTGTGAAAGCAAAGCAGCTTCATCCTGAGTCCTCTCTCCTTCCTTTAATCTCAGGTAGTACCTGCTGCAGCAATGGCAATTTTTCCTCTTTCACTTGAGAAGCCAAAATGCCAATGATTTGTGGGACAAGTGAGAATGTGTGCTGGTTTGAGCTCGAGTAGAGTTAACTTTGTTTTCACCAGACAGAGAAGGATCCATTTGAATCTTGTGGAATTTTTCCTGCCTTTACCTTCAGTCTAACATTTTTTTATCATCTTTCCCCCTACTTTTCAAAACCAAATTTGCAATAAAAGCCCTAAAACCCCACAGTACAGTACAGTCATGAGTGCAAGCAAACCATTAACTCTCTACCTCCTATTTTAGCAGTCAGTTCTGGTGTTCAGTGTGTGACTGAACACCAGGGAAGCCAGCAAAAGAGAGGGGACTTCATGAGCATTTTGTACCTTGAGCTACAAGATGCACAACTTCCTGCCAAGATGGATTAAGTAAGGAGAATTGACAGGATGACTGAGCTCATAATCTGTTATAATCTCTTATAATCTATTCATAATCACCAGCATGAGAGGAGAAAGCACATAAACCCCACATTGCAGCTCAGCCCTCAAGCCATAGGAGCAGCTGATGTAGAACCTTAGAAGTCATCAGGACAGCCCCAGAAAGTCAGGCAGCTCTGCTGGGATGTTTGGCTGGTTTAAGGACACTTGACTTTCCCGTTGCATTTTGGAGTCCCTCTGGTGGCAGCAGCAATTTCCCATCCTGAGGTCTCGGGAAGAAAATTTGCTTCTATTTCAGACTTTGAAACACAGTGATTGCAGACAACCAGGGCACAGCCTAACTACACACGAGCATTTAATACCTTTGAAGTAGAATGTAACTACAACATCTGAAGGGGAAAAGTCTGTTGAGAAGAGAAAACCTAGTTCCAAGTGCTGTCTCCTCTCCCACGTTTCTTCCTATGCCAAACCCAGACTAACTTTATTCCTGTCATTTTGCACAGCATCCTCCCAGCCAGCACCCACAGAAACACCCAGAGCTGATGACTAACTACAGTTGGGTGGGTTTTTTTACTTACAATATTGGGTTTTGCTGTTAGCTCTAAGTTTTTCTGGGGACTAGAGAGACACAGAGTTAATTGCTGTGGCTTTTAAGAAATATAGTGCTTTGTCTTCAAAATAGCCACAGCTTCACAGTAAAGTTTAAACTTAAAAGTTAGTGTTATTACCATTGTACAAGTTTTTTGCCCTTGTTTGGGAATGTGTCTAAAGCATAGCAGGGAGAAAGGATGCATGAGTTGGTGGCAAAGTGTCAGGGAGGATTCGATGGCTCAGGCTGAGCTCTGAAAGCAGATGGAGGAACTCACTGTCCTTCCTGGGCTTTCTGCCCACACTGAATTTCTGG